GAACCAAAATGCTAATACATTTTGTTGACTAGATGATAAGGAAACAGACAGTCTTAGAGTAAATTTGCATAAGGGAGAACCATTAGGTAATATCTTTCAAAATGAAGAAGGCACATACAGCAATTCTGCTTCTAAGTAACAATCCTGGAAGTATACTTATATATGTGAAAAATGACTTATATAGGAGGATATTCTTTATAGCATTGTTTGTATTAGCAAAATACCTATAGGAAATTAGGTATTTAAATGATCTATTTAAATATGTATTACTATGGGAAAATCTTGCAGATACACATTTTAAGTTAAAAGAAGGCACTGAATAGATAGATCAATATAGTAGATAGATAGAGACAGAAGGATGGATGGATAGATATTGTACATGTTGATAAGTGCACAGACTGTATCAGGAAAATACCAAGAATGTGACCAGGTGGCAATGAAAGGGTGTGAAAGAAAATTGCTTTGGATTGGGTCAATGAATTCTAATGAATATCAGAAACACACCCATGGTTGAACAAAATTTGTTTTAACAACTCTCAGCAAGAAGGAAAAATACACAGCAGAGCAGAACTGGAGTGTCTTAGCAAAAGAACGTAAGAAAAGATTTATAGGATTTGGGTGTGTGTCAAGTGGTTTTAAGGAGGGCTCAAAGAAATGTGGATCTGCCCCAGATTGGATGCTCTAAGGATGTGGTTGTAATTCTATGGCTACTATCTTAGTAATTCTTTTCTAGAGGGCAAGAAGAACAGAGCAAGGTTAAAGCTGTGTTTCGTAAAGAACCAGCAGCCACTCATATAATCTAGGACAGAGACATATTTGGTCATTTTGCAGTTTAGGAAACATGTTTGTTTTTGTCTGTGGTCAGACATGATTACAAAGTTTGCTTTTATCTTGACTCATCATGTCTCAGTGGCTTTGTCTAATTTCAAATGTTGCACAGTTGTCTATATTCAACAGAAGGAAACCAAGTCTTCTTGGGAGTGCCAAGCCACCTTCTGGCTCTCAGAGACTGTTTTGCTATTTCTCAACTATACGCCCTTTTGCGCCTTTGCAATTCTGAACCATGTACTTATCTATTCAAAATAATTTTTAAAAGAATATCAGGACCAAAGGAGACCTTAATAGTCACTTGAGTTCTGAAACCATAACCCCACCACTACCACTTTGCTTCCTCCTCCCACACCAAGGGGGTTTTCTTATAAACCCCTCCCTTTGCCTCAAGTGCCAGAATGGCATCTGCTTGAATATCTCCAGTCTCACCATTGTACTAACTTGTCAGGCAGCCAATTCCATAGTCAAATGGCTCTCAATATTTTATTGTTCAGAGATAAAGAGAACAATACATTTGGTTATAATATCGTCATTGTTTCCTCCCTTGCATTTTTTGACCTCTTGTTCTATGGTAACTCAGGAAACAAAATAATTAGCTTTTTAATTTTATGTAAAATATTCCTATTAATACCCTCCAAACTGCCATTGTCTTTTTTTGTTCTAGTGTTCCAACAGTTTTGCATTTTTTATCATTACATTTGCAGAGATTACTATCTGTTACTGCCGACAAATCCATTTGTGTTTTGTACTCAATCACATATAATTAGTCTTTTCTTCATGAACAAAAGAACAGGTGTCTTTATCAATTCCGTGCAAGATACTGTGGTAAGGTTGGTTAGACCTAATGATGTCTAGTGAACCAAACAACACATTTCTGACAGATGTTCATAGTAACAAGATTCTTTTTTCAAACAATCAACTGCTTCTACTCCTACACACACAAAGTAGAGAAAGAAAAGACATTTTAACAACTTAGAGGCTTATAATTTTTCTATAAAAGACATGAGTAGAATTTAAATCCTTCTCTGATATTTTTGCTTCTAACCCCCACTCTCACAAAGTAAGTGTAAATTATTTGTTTTTATTTGATATTCTTCATTAAAATATGTGGGGAGAGGGTCAGAAGAAAGCACATTAGTTGAAAAACTGGTCAAATTTTAATTAAAGCTGTAGGTCTCTGTAAATAGTACTGACTAGTGTTAATTTTCTGATGTTGATCATTATGTTGTTATATAAAATGGCACCATTAGGGGAAGCTGGGTAAAAAGTGGAACTCACTTTTATTACTTTGTAATTTTTCTGAAGTCTTAAATGATTTTTTAAGTTAAAAAATATGTGGTTAACAGTATTTTAGCCAATGACCTATACAAACTTTTGTACATATTGATAGAGACATTCATTCATCTAGTCATTCATTTACTCACTTTGTATTGAGTGCTAACAATGTATTGGAGACCTATTCATTCTAGGTTCTAATGATGCATGAGGCATCAATCAAAATCTTTTCACTCATGGAACATATATTCTTCTGGGAAAGAAGATCAAAAATAAACAAACAGCAACAATACGTGTTTCAAAAGCGGTATATGCAAATAGAGACTTCCAAGGTGAGAAGTGTAATTTTTAAAGGACTGTTAAGGAAGGCATGTTCAACATTTATAAGATAGATGTTAGCAGCACTATTTGTAATGGCCTTAAAATAGAAACAATAATTATACACCAAAAGGAAAGTGAATAAATATGTCTGTATACATTCATACAGAGGAATATTTTACAAAAATTCAAAGAAATAAAGCAAATATATTACCAAATACAAACCTCACAACCATAATATTGGGAATTAGAGTACACAAAATATATTTATGATAATATTCTAACAAAATTTTTTAAAATAAGCAAAACATTATGAATTAAATTTTTTTCTTAAATTGCATGTATATGAGATATACAGAATTCCAGGGAGTTACTATATCTGATAACGAAGGAAAGCAATATTCCATCAGGGATATCACAACAAGGAGGTTCAAATAAATTGATATTTTTAATTAATTTTAAAGCTAGTGCTAAGTATCCAGATAAACTTGTGTTCATTTTTATATTTTGTACACCTAATTTTAAAAACAATTTATTAAAAAGTATGTGCAGTAGTTTATCTTAACAAAATATTAGTTTAAATTTATGAGTTCGGAGAATTTTTTAAAGTACATATTTGACACAATGCATGCTCTCTGGTGTGTGTGTGTATCTGTGTGTTTGTGTGTGGTATGCATAATGACATTATGCTAAGATATATATGGATGGAGGAAGGTACAAACGTATACCTAGGTGTAGACTTACACTAGCAGTTGACCCAGCATCAGCAGAGCAAGCATTGTCAATTATTTTCCTAGAAAGAGTGAAGTAAGGATTTGTCCTAGTTTGACCCCACACTTGCACTTCCACCCTTCTGTCTCTCTGCCCCATGATAAATGTCATGCATCTGCAAAATAGTTGGCTGGGTTAAGGTAGCATTTTGTAGAATAGATATGGCTAATTGGTTTCTTGGGGATTGATTCTATCTTCATCATTTATAATTTTTCAATTTTTTAAAAAGTTAGATAGATGGTGCTGACAGCAATGTTGATATATCATCATCATCTCCAGCCATCTCATTTTATAGAAAAAAAAAACCCTGAGAACTGGTAATATCTTGGACTTAATGCAGATAAGTGACACAACTAAGTGATTCCCTGACTACTTCATCTGTATTTGTAGCCTCACTAAATCTACATTCATATACAGATGTAATAAGCGAGAATATACAGAGAGAAAGCATCCTGATTCTTCTCAACTTAATTGAAAGCTTTAATCATTTAAAAAATGCTTTCACAGAAACAAACTGACAATTCAAACCAAAATCAGCCAATCAACAACTTAGAAAAAAAAAAAAAACTGAGCAAGAAAACTGAAATGAAATTCTTTATATAAGGTATTTTCTTTATTGTAAATCATATTTTATATGTGTAATATTAATTGAACAGATAACTTAGAAAGGGAGGACAAAAGCATTTTCATTCATTAGGGATTTTGAAGTTTTCTTCAAGTATTTCATATCAATTTAAAAGACATTTCACTATAAAATATCTGGCTTCCTAAATTACTTTATGCAGTTTGGTAGATTATTAGCCTGATCGCAAAATCACATCCATCAGAATCACAACTTGTTTGGACAGACATCAGTGAGCATTTACTGTGTGCTCAACGCTAAAGATCTAGCAGTGAAGACAGACAAATGTTAGAAGAACAATATGGCATTGTACATAATTTTAGAATGACATAAATTTACCTTCAGTTATCCATATATGATTATGCAAAATTTGAAAGATACGAGAGCTATCATTCTTGCTTCTGGAGCTTATATTTGAAATTTCTATAGACTGCAAATTCATTTTGTCATACCTTGATGATTGCATTTAGTTTTTGAACTTGTCAACTCTACAGTTAGATTACTTAAAAACTATTTCCAGAGACATTGTTATTAATCTTTGAATGCTCAGCATTTTCATTTCCCCCCAAAAATTGTTTAATTCCATTTCAGGTCTATCAGTGTTCATTATCTTTTTATATTATATATATTTATTATATATACTATATATATTCATAATATTCAAATATATTTTTCTTTTAAATTCAGCAATTTTGCCTTTAACGTAAAATAACATATATATGTTATTACTCAGTGTTTACCTTAACAGGTAATTTCTGTCTGTCAGAAATTGTGTTCTAAGAAATATATAACTTGTTCATTATTGAACTATAACTTGTTCATCACTTGGTTCTGGGATTTAAATACCATCTTGTGTTAGAAGATATGCTTGTATTGTTCCTATGAGTGTTTATCATCATCTTGCCTAAAAAGATTGTGATGGGAGTATATTCTTGCCCACTGACCAAATGGAATACCTTTAAGCCTCTTACCTTCTCTTAAGTGCATACCCTCTCTCACAAACTGTGTCTTTGCTGTAGGAAATCATTGCAAGTAGGATAAAGGAACAGACACTAGCTTATTCATAGTTAAATGCTTTGAAAGGCATAGTTCGGTAAGGCAGCTTAGCAATGCTTTAAGTATAAGATACACTGGGCCATACATTTGATTTGGAATCAGATTGTAAGAAGTGTATGTTTCTTACTGTAGTCGCTGTTTTCGTCCTTGGTCCCATCAATGGTACCATCTGGGTGCATCTGCAGGAAATATCCCTGCTGGCTGAATAACCTTGTCACGATCCCTTTCAGCTGGGGTTCTGCAAAACAAAATAATTATTCAAATTTTTATTTGGCTTATAAAAATGCACACTTACAAATTGTTAAAAAATCCTGTAAGTAAATACATAAATGCCAATAGCTTCAATATTGAATTACGTGTTTGGAAGTTGAATATTTCAGTAACATATCTATGCTTTTTTTCCATCTAGAGGTAGAGCCATAACACTTTCAGCAGTAAACTAAATGCAAATAGATAAAGACTAATTATGATTAGGAAAATATAGAGACATGCTAAAAAGTGAATTATTTTGCTCCCTTGTGCATCTGGTGTCTGACTACAAGATTTCACCAAGTTTATAGTCCCATTCCAGAATTATTGTTTAGACCAAAATGCCTCTGTAATTACTAAAGTTTCTAGCAGTCACAATCAGGTTCATAAGATTTCCATTTCTGCAGGATGTCAGCTATCCATCAGAAGCTCCTGGGTTTTGAATTTGTAATTAAGTTCAACCAGAGAGAATAGTTTGGATGAGAACCACAGGCAATAACAAAACTCCCGTGGCCATGAGATGTCACTGGGAAATATGTGAAAATGAAAATTTCACCTTCACTAAATACTTCACCAGAGAGGAGCCTCAGTATTCCAAAGGTCATTTCTCTAGTTAAAAAAAAAAAAAAAAAAAAAAAGTCAAGTCATACATATTTCTCTAAGTATTTCAGCCAGGATTGCTCAACTTTTAAAAACTCCCACAACACAAATACCTTCAAACTAACCTTTGTATAACACATTTGAATTTTTGTGCATCAGCTAATATAAATATATAAAGCTTTTTCATTGCAGGGCTGGCTGCCAGCAACAATCTAGTTTCCACCGCATCACCATTTTTGTCTCTATTGTTGAGCAAAAATGAATTATTCTAGTGCACTTATAGCCGTAATTATTTCATTAAAATGAGGAGAAAAAGAAAAATGCTGCTTCTGGTGATAAAAATTGAGGCAAAGATAGAAATCGTATGATTGCTGAAGTAGCAACATGGTATCCTCAGAAGGACAATTGCTGAATTTAAGCTAGTCAACTTCATCTTTCATCCATTTATTCAACTAATGTTTACCAAGACTGTCTTTTTTCGGCCAAACAATATGGTAGGCACTGTGTGTTACACTGAATACACGTATCGATGTTTATGTCTAAAGGAGAATTCTAGTTAAGCATTTAATGTGACTATTTCTTTGGGAATTGGCCTACACACTATAACAAGTGTCTACAGTTGGGACTTTCGCACATGTGACTTGATCACATTCACATTATTTGGGCATATGGGGAAATGCTTCTGTTAACACATTTTTTCAAAGCAGTCCCAAGAAGCAAAAGAGATGTCAAGAAAATCAGGAATGAGGGAACAGGCTAATGAAAAAAGAACTGAACTGGAAATTAGGCATTCTAATTAATAGATTTGTACTGTCTTTATGAGTTAAATAAATTCATTTTTTTAAGACAGAGTCTCACTCTGTTGCCCAGGCTGGAATGCAGTAGCACAATCTCGGCTTACTGCAACCTCCGCCTCCCGGGTTCAAGCGATTCTCCTATTTCAGCCCCCTGAGTAGCTGGGATTACAGGTGCATGCCACCAAAACTAGCTAATTTTTGTATTTTTAGTAGAGAAGGGATTCACCATGTTGGTCGGGCTGGTCTCGAACTCCTGACCTCGTGATCCACCCGCTTTGGCCTCCCAAAGTGCTAGAATTACAGGTGTGAACCTTCGTGCTCCACCAATAAATTCAATTTTTAAAATTTGTGGGTCTCAATGTCCTCATCAATAAAAATCTGAAAGTTAAACTGAATGATTGTTACCTCATATGAGTCTCTATTCACTTTGAGCATATTAGAATCCTCTGCCTTGAGTGGTGGCAGAAATAGAAGAATGGATTTGTCTTCAATGCACACCCTCCATAGGCTCATCCAATCCCATAACTATGGACAAGTCAGGAAACACATGACTAACTAACATTGCTGCAAACAACTCTCTGTGTGCCTCCACCTTTGGCTACCTGGCTGACAGGTAGCTTCTGATGTGGTAGAACCACCCACAGATTTGAACCACAAATGCGGTATGGCCCTGAGCAACTCATCTAACATCTGAATTTCAAGTTTTTTAATCTATATAGTAAGATAAAAAACGGTCCTACCCTAACTATGATTATTGCAAATTTCACATGAATGAGTGAGTATGAACTAGAAAACCCATAAAATATATATCCTAATCAAAGTCTAATGTTTCAACTATGAAAATCAAGGACATGCTATAAGGGAGGTAAAAGAAGAATTCTGAGAAAAGAACATGTTTACTCTAGCTTTTGCTTTAGTAAAATATTAACTGAGCTTGTAAAGCCACTAAAGTAAACAGTGGGCTAAAAGTAGAGGATAGAAAATGATAGAAGAGAGGAAGAGGGTAACTGTCTTACAAGTCATATTTTACTTCTAATAAGCTTGATAAGGTCACTTTAAGAAGTCATGGTTTTATTGGTAATGAGAGGCATGACAGCTTAGTCATTAGTGCCCGTAAATGATTGTTTGTTTCCTTCGTGCTCCTCTTTCTGTACCTGTAATTAAACACTTCTTTTGCCTTGGTGGAGCCATCCCTCTGTTGGAGCCCTGGGGATTCGGGTTGGTAACTCCTGCTCAAGATAATGAGCATCAGACTCTGAGCACGAACCTCTGAGAGTAGTACCAGAACAGGCCCAAGAGTCTGTGTTTTAATTATGTTGTGATATGTGAAAATGAACATCCTGCATTATAGAAGTTTCAAGGAGACTTGACCATCTATTGAAAAAAAAAAATACCCTGAACATAGATGTGTCACAGAAAGCTGTGTAGCCTGACTGGCATTTTATATGTCTATTACCATCAAGTCCTACCAACCTTTCCAAGGTCAGCTCAACATCACCTCCTCCATGAAGGTTTGGCTATTATAAGTGAGATCTCCTTTATAATGGGGAAAACCAGAACATGTTTTGCTCTATTTTAAAGAAAGGAGGTACAAAATGAGACCACTTTTCAGCACACTCAGCATCCTGGGTACATTCAACTAACACACATTTACTTGTTAGACTATGCTCGGGGACCCAAGATATGAATAAAATCTTTGCTGTCCTCAGGGAGCACCCAGTCTGATTCATGAAACATATTTATATCTAATACTAGTTTGGAGAGCTGCTAAATGAGGAAGTGAAGCACACTGGTGTGATGGCACCAAGGAGCAAGGGACCAGTTCTCTCTGAAGGCTGGGATGAGGCACTTCACTGTGTGGAATGTCCTTACTCTGGTTTCCTTGCCTGTGACAATCCTACACATTCCAGTGCTATCGAGATACTTGGGAGGACACAGGCCAGAGTCCAGCCAGTCCGTGCCCGCAGATCCAGAAGCCGTGGTCTATCGGCAGATGGGTGTCCCTGGGACCAGCCGAGGATGACCTTTATTCATGGATTTTGTGCCCACAGCCTCTTGGGGACTACCAGCAGCTGCTGACCATCGGCTTCAAGAAGCCCTCGCCCATGCTGGCCACCGACCTGCTGGTGCAGATCCTCACGGGCCAGGCAGGCCAGGTCCGGCCTCCGAGCGCAGCCGGGCCCGCGGGGTGGGTGGCGCAGGGGTCTTGAATCTGGGGAAGACGGTAGGAGCTGGAGCTTGACAGTTCCAAACTCCAGGAGAGGGGGCAGGGGAGGAGCTCACTGGTTCTCGCAGTGCAGCCCGGCCTCGCCTTCCAAAGGGCCAGCCACGCTGACCTGTCTGCATCGAGATCGGCCCAGCCGTGGGGCCCAGAATGCGGACACGCCAGTTTGGTGTTAAATAAAAGAAAGAAAGAGGAAGAAAAAAAAAATCCTACACATTCCAGTGTAGGATTGTCATAGGCAAGGAAACCAGAGGAAGGACATTCCACACAAAACATGGCAACTCTGGGAATGATGGAGAGTCTGATAAAGACAGAATTGAGAAAAAGGGTTCTCAAATGCAGACGCACAAGTAAGTACCTGTTCTCAACAAATGTTCATAGCACAACAGTGACAATAAGACAAATAGGGTCAATGGAATAAGTTTTCCATGAAGCTATTTTTTTTCTCAGTTTATATGACTCCTGGATTTTAAGATTATGCTCTTCCATTACAATTTTTCTTTTTTTAATGAAATGATGGCTATATTATTAGATGGTGGGGAGGAAGGGTTGGTTTGTTCCCTTTTGTGCTCTAAAGTGGTGTGGCAAATACTGCTAGCATTTCGCTGAAATCCATTTCCTCTTTTTTCTGGGCACCCAGCTAGACCATATGTCCTAGCCTCCCTTGCAGTTAGGTTTGGCAGATGAATGAGTGTCATATGGATTGTAAGTGGAAGTGATGTGTGCCATTTTCAGGCCAAGGTTTTTAAAAGCAAACATTCTCCTCCACATTCTCTTTTCCTTAACACCGGCCAGATTAAGATAACATAGCCCTAGGGGCTACAGAAGCAACAGAATGGAAGAATGTCGGGTCCCTGAATAACAGGTAAAGAAAAGATGACAGCCATTGAAATAGCTACCTTCGACAGTGAAATGAATAAGAAATAAATTTCCATTGACTGTGCACAATGTGCTTTGAACTTCCTTCCAAAAAATACAATATGGAAAGGGAAGGAGTGAGTAATATTATGGTAGAGAAACCTAACAAACAAAGCACTATCTCAGTCAGGTGTCCAAGGTTAATATCATCAATTATAAAACATGCTGATATTATATACTCTTGAGATTATGTGATGAGCATAGCACTTTACCTCTGTGATCTTCCTCCAAAAAACCCACCTCAGTCTAATCATGAAAAAAAAAATAGACAAATGCCATTAAAGAATATTCTACAAAATACTTGACCATTACTCCTCAAAATGGATTGTTCATAACACAAAGAAGGGATTAATTCTTGAGGTGAGAGATAATCTATTTGCCCTGATGTGATTACTATGCATCATATGCCTGTATCAAAATATCTCATGTACTCTACAAATACATATATAT